CCTATCCAAAATGTGGTTCATTATCCTACCCAGACTAATGATTGCTCCCCATACAAAATGTATAGAACCCCTAACCCTAGTCTTAGCGGGTTAATTTCAGGATAATGATTGACTTCTCTTCAGACTAATGATTGGTTCCCGGGCGATTACGGTTTTGCATTTGGAGTATGTCATAATAGAGGCCCGTAGTTTACAACTTACGCGATTTACACCACGATTGCACTTCGTGGACGGGTGGAATCGTAGATGGAAAATCGACCATTTTGTATGGGAGGAATATCAAAATTTCCACGGGAAAGTTGAGAAAAGGGGCTCTTAGGGTTGAAGAATAGCTAGGGTTAACCCTAAGGGTAGCCAGGGTCGAGTCCGAACCGGGCAAGGTAAGCGAAATTGGTAGAGTTAGGAGTCACGGGTGAATCTAGTAGAATGGATGGGATGAATGTAATATAGACAATGGATACGAGGACTTTGAGTTGAAGTATGATGGTTTGCTAGTCACCATTAAATTCGCGTTCATCGGTATTATTAGTTATTCGATGACGATGACGGCATTGGTTAAGGACGAACCTATCTAGGTCGACGAAGTATTTCAGTACTCGTGCCGTATCTAACTCCCTATTTGCCGTCAATGTCGATATGCCGTATGGCCAGAGTAGATTGCCAGTTATTTACAGCGACGACAGTATCGATTAAGCCCGTCAGATGCCCGGTATGTCTAGAATCAAGTTTTCCAGTGACCCGATTTACTGCAGAATCGTGACGTCGTGTATATAATCTACCAGAGGATTCAAGACCCCGTTCCCTAGTTAGATATCTATACGGACGGGTTATTATGCGGCAGTCCGACCGAGTAATGTCGATATGTATATCGCGGCGAGGCGACTATAAAGGTTCATTGGGCACGACGTCATCCCGGTCAGCGAGGCTATGCCGGTGCGCCGTGTGCCGGTCGAGGAGGCCATCCCCACGCCCGGCCGTGGAAATCGGTATATTACTAGCGGGTATTCCCCCGTGGTCGAGGGTCCTAGTATTTTGAGGTCCACGCCCCGGAGCGGGCCGAAGAAGCCGCCCCGAAGCCATCACCACCACCACCTAGTAAGGTCGAACAAGTACGATAGATATTGTAGTAAAGGATGGAAAAGATCTAGGACCGTGAACGACGTACTATCGACGAAGGAACGTATAACGAGCCTAGCCTATAGTTAGAACGAACCGGGTGGGCCTAGTATTTACGAAAATTGGACCGTGATGAGTTATTATAGAGTATCGCTACGCTAGAGATGGATCTAGAACCCGTCAGTCAAGTGATATAGGAAGCGATAGATAAGATGATGCGACAATATTAAGTTATCCTTAGGGCGTATACCGGAGTATTTATACGTAAGGAGGTAATACGGATCGAAGAAGATTAAAGTCGATTCGTGCTATTGAAAGGATACCAAAATCCGGAAGAGATTTAGGATAAAGGTCGATATTAGCAGTAGATTATTATGTTTTTCGTTTATACGTAGCGGTTACATTTATGGAAGAGTCCTAAATATATATTAAAGTATTACTAGTAGTAAGTGTTTCAGCAATTGATATAGGAGACCTAGTAGGATATCGAGAGGAGTAAGTTATAGTATAAGG